ATACATACATACATACCTACGTACGTACGTACGTACGTAGGTATGTATGTATGTATGTATATCCTCCAAAAATTAAATGCGTACGTACGTACGTATGTATGTATGTATGTATGTATGTATTCCTAGAGTAACCTCCAGTTTAATCTGTTAAGCCTGTGGGAAGAACTCTGATAATATTACCCAAATTTGTCTTACTCAGATGGTGCAACAGAGGAACAGAAGGAAGAATTCTTGGAGGAGATGCAACTCATGAAACAAATTGGATATCACCGTAATGTGCTGAATTTATTGGCCTGCTGTACTAAGACTGCTCCCATGTTTCTGGTGGTTGAATTTGCCAAGCATGGTGATTTACTCAACTTTCTCCGGAAAAGGAGGGATCAGGTGAGAGAGGTGCTTTTGACCCCACTCACACGTCCTAACCAAACTCCTTTTTCTTGACCACAAAAAAAAAAAAAGTCCTCGCGACTGAATAAAACAAACGGAGTTAAACTTAACGGGTACAGCGTTGCACACATTAAACAAAATTACTCCATAAAGGGGCAGGATAATTTTCCTGTGTTGATAGTGAGGCGTATTTCAGCGCAAACAATATCCCTAATGGCCTAATGCCTAAGGTAAACAAAAAAAGAGACGAACAGGAATACAAAGAAAAGGCATACCGCAGTAACACTACCCTTTAATTGAAACTATCTTTTCGGATAAAGAAAGCAGTTGAGTAAATGAGAGCAGAAGAACTCTACCACTAGACAAGAATCTAATTAAATTATGCAAAAGTGTATATTGCACATACTGCAGCAATACTACTCTTTAATTCAAACTATCTTTTCAGATTAAACAGGCAATTGAGAATATGGATGCAGTAGAAGTCTACCACCCACAATGCTATAACTTAGGACTTAGTACCAGTGAAATAAACCTGTATGACGTATGTATTCTTGCCTTAAAAGATTTCTGATGTTGTTTTAATCCAATACCGTACCATAAGCAAATGTACTTTAGGTATCCCTTTATTACCCCCCTCTCAATTTCGTACCTAGATCCTAGCATTTAACTGTAACCGCTTGGCCATAGAAGGTCTGGGTACGAGGCAACCCCCTTTTCATAAGTCACCCGTTTAGACCTGTAAGCTTCTGATAACCCTCCCCTCTCTAATAACTTCAGCTTGTCCTTCTTAAAAAAATCTGCAAGTACAGGTTTTACTATCATTTAGCCAAAGTAATGCTTTAAAAAATTCTATACTTTGATTTAAAAGCCTTTGATTCTTATTTCCCATTGGAGATCGTCGGTTCAACTTCAGAAAATGCACACTGTTTATGGTGTACATTGAACAAACTCGATGAAAATAAAGAGCAAATATAATAAATGTACATGGCATTCTGGTCCTCACTAAGTCCTCCATTCTCATAGAAGGATCCCCATCTCAATCACTAACCCTCTCCAATAAGCCTCCTTTCCAGGCTCCCTGGCTGAGAACCCTGACATCTTTAAATTCCTTCGTGGGGGGAGTGGGGCTGAAAGGGGAATAGAAAGAAGAGAGAGCCTGCGTTAGAGGTTACTCAGGGGATATATTAAGCGATACGGTAATGAATACTACAGCTGTCTTCCAATGCATTACCCGAACTTTAAAAATGTTCCATATGTTCCTTTTTCAGTCTACTGACGATATAGATAAATACGCTAAAGGTCTTGGAAGCTTTCGCAACAAATATGGATATGGAAGTAATCTGAAAACCAACCCTCGAGAATTACATGATCATGAAGATGACACTCTCAGACCCACTGACCTTTTGACTTTTGCTTGGCAAATAGCGCAGGCAATGGTAGAAGATGCATTTGGTGTATTGAATCTTTATTGCGAAAACAATAGACGTTCCCACTTTGCATGTATTTTCTAAAACTTATTTTCATATATATTGATATACATGCAAAAACCTCAGCTCATTGACCGAGAACATGTCAATTAATCCCAAACAGTGCAGGAAGTTGAAATTGATCGCAAAAAGTTTAAATTGAGCGCAGAAAGTTGAAACTAAATTGATTGATAGGCAAGTCGCGAAACGGCACATCGAAAAAAAATGGCGGAAAGGTGAATAGGAAGTGATAACGTTCAGAGTTTTAGGGAGAATGCTAAAGAACAAAAACACCCAACAAAGGACAAACAATTGGCTCCACGGGCTTGTGAGTAATTTGATTAAAAGGGTACGTTTTTAAAGAAATTGTGGTGCTGTGTCGGTGTGAGTAACAAGGTAGTGTTGTTTTTATCAAATGAGTTGATAAAGTCATTTGGCCAACTCTCTACGGTGGCCAACTTGCTTTTTCTTTCTTCTCTTTCAGGATTTTTTGTCACGCAAAGGATTTGTCCATCGTGACTTAGCAGCAAGAAATGTTCTGGTCTGTGAAGGCAAGTTGTTGAAGGTAGCAGACTTCGGACTGTCACGTTACGTGTACACAGAGAAAGTCTACCACTCCACAAAAAATAAAAAGCTGCCAATCAAATGGATGTCACCGGAAGCCATTCATGATCAGATTTTCACGACAGAAAGCGACGTGTAAGTTTCAAGTCACGCAATCAGTCTAATTCTTTCCCAGTTTGCCTCCTTCCCCTCCTTCGGTGTATAATGTCCAGGGTGTGGAAAAGAGAGACTCTGGTAGCCAGGTTGGTTGCCAGTGATGCGCCTCATCAATAACAACAATTGCAATAGTTGTTGCACATGCATATTTATTTATTTACTCAAATTCAATTACAAAGATAATCAAAACAAAACAAAAACAAGGAGCTAAATATATATACAAGTATAAAAAAGAGATATCTGAGTAATTAGGCCAGTTTATACAGAATTCTAGATTCCTTATTTTAAATAAACTGCCTGTTATAAAATACAAAAAAATTAAAAACTAACTTAGACAAATAGCAACAACAATACGTAATCAAAAATTATAAAAATTTATCCTTACTTAAGTTAAATTTACTGATATAAAATTGATTCAAAACTGAATCAGTTTTGAATCAGTTTTGAATCAGTTATATCACATAAACTCTCATATTATTACGCGAACAATGCAGCTAAGTATTGTAAAAGTATTTTTGGTGGGTGTCGAAAAAAAAATGTGAGTGAAGCTGGACTGAATTGATCATGGCAATGAAAGAATAAAACTAACAGAAAGGTACAAATAAGAAGAAGTAACAATGACAATTTCCTTGAATGTTTCCTTTTAAAACGAAAGGGCTGAGTCCACCAAGTAATGTCAGTTTTCTCTCAGTACCCTTAATGCAGCATACATGTTTTCCATACTGTTCCTTATACATTTCCTAAGGTGCTAACAAGGATATTTTTTTAACAATCGATAGCTTTTTCAGATGCTGATCACTCTTGTGACCCTGATGTTTGATTCAGGAGTGATATTGTAAGGTGAAACTAGATGCTAGTCACTCCTCAGAGTTAAATGGTTAAATAACCAGCCCATCCTTCTCGTGTTCGCCGGGAGCATATAGTGCCTTGATTGTGTAAGCCGGCAAATATTAAAATCCTTATAATAATCGTTCACAGATGGTCGTACGGAGTCTTACTCTGGGAGATGGCCACAATTGGTGGGTAGCACTTCCAAATGTTTTCAAGGGCTAACAATAGTGACTGAAATGTTCTAACATGCGTTAAGATCTAGGGCTAATCCTTGAAAAAAGGGTTATTCTATGAATTAAAATAATTAACGTGCTTTTACAGAATATATCTATTAGATATATACACGGCCAACGTGTTGGACTCTGGATGGAGAGGTCTGGCTTCGAATCCTAGCTTTGCGACTGAGTTGACTTGACAATGCTTGGTCTGGCTTCGTATCATAGCCAAGTGACTGCGTTGTCTTCACAATGCTCGTCATTCTCGCAGTGCCTCTTTCCACTCCGGAGTATAAATGAGTATCAGCAGACTGTCAAGTAAAACCTTAATGAACGACCACAGATGGGGAGGGCGGGATGATCATTGATGGAACAGTATTCCATCCAGAGGGAGTGGGGAGGGGGCGGGATAACCATTAATGGGACAGTATTCCATCCAGTGGGAGTGGGGAGGGGGCGGGATGACCATTGATGGAACAGTATTCCATCCAGAGGGAGTGGGGAGGGGGCGGGATAACCATTAATGGGACAGTATTCCATCCAGTGGGAGTGGGGAGGGGGCGGGATGACCATTGATGGAACAGTATTCCACCCAGTGGGAGTGGGGAGGGGGCGGGATGACCATTGATGGAACAGTATTCCATCCAGGCGGTGCGAACTGAAATACAAACTAACAAACTAAAATTTAATTATACAAGCTAAACAATATTAAAGTTTGTTATTTTTTTTCCCTTATCACCTATTGTTGTTCTTACCATGCATTTTATCATTTTGTTTTAACTTTACTATATTTTGATACATATATTTCGAAAATGGGTTTCTAATTTGATTTAAGGTTTAGGCTTTATAGGTTAAATTCTTTTAATTTGTTCTATTCAGGTGGTACTCCCTATCCCACAATCAGTAATCAAAGACTTCTTAAAGCTTTGAATTCCGGACACAGGATGGAAAAACCACAGATCTGTTCTGATGACATGTAAGACTCCATTCCAGCTTTCATATTCCCTTAACACTACCAAAGATGACACTGACTGGCCAATTATCTAATTTCAGGTATGATCTGATGCGGCAATGTTGGAAGGAAAAGCCCTCGGAGAGGCCATTGTTCAGCTCCATCCGGGAACAGCTTGAACGAATGATGTTACACCAATGTTCCTATCTGGACTTAAGCGATGCAAACTATAGTCACATGCCGTTTTCTGACACTGATAGTGACAAGGAAACGATGCAGAAAAACACTGCCTTCTAAATTTGATGCAAGACCCTTCCTTTTTTTAAAACAAAAAAAAACAGGTTCCAACGAGGAACCAGCTTAGCTTCCTGCTAAAAATGCAGGGATTCATGCCCTATAATATTCTATCTCACAGAGACAGGGATAATTAAGACCATGAAAATCCTTACCCAAGTTCTCAACCCGATCGATCGTCATTCCTTTGAAATGACTAGGTTTTGTAAATGAGAACTAAAAATTCAACTTTAATTTTCATTTAAAGTTCATATTAGACCCCTTAAAAATTATTTTCATTTGGGCATGAATAATGCCAAGAAATATGGCCATTTTAATTCTGTTCCCTTCTTTAGGTCTATTTTTACAATTCGAGGTTTGTTCACCCTAGGATAGGATTATATCACGGTCTTTAGTAGTTTCCCAGTTTTTGCGACTGCTTCGCTTGCGAAGGTAAACACTAGGCTATGACAAAAATCAATTGTCCGAGCTATTTGTGAATTAAGTACTCTGTCGATAGCAATCATCAATCGATAATCTTCGCTACCGAAGTAGCGATGGACTTTATTGAAATGTTTGCCTTGCGTAGAGGTTCCTGGATTCGGTCTTAGCAGAACAGCAGCAAGGAAAAGGGGAGTAAATTAGTAATTCAATAAATGTCGTCCAAGCCACAAACCATCTAGACTTAACAATATTAAAAAGCTTTTGCGTTGCTTGAAGAAACGAAGGTCTCGACGAAATATAATCTCCATGCCATGCGACCCTTTAGCAATAGACACATACACGCATTACGTACCTATTTATTTGCTTGTTTTCAATAACTACTTCAACCTGGCGCTGTCCGACCCATACGTGTGTGTTACTATGTGTATAATCACGCTTTTAGAAATAGGAGAACCGGTTGCGACGTAAACAAGTTGCCATATTTATCATTCTCATTCTCTAAGCTTCCTAGATCCTGTTGTTAATTAGTTATTGATGAGAGTTTTCCTGGTTGTAGTAAAAAGAAGTTCCTGGTAATCGATGAAAGGAGCCAAAAGCCATGGGCCTTTTACGTTTCATAAGTCTGGTTGGTTTTATATCGTCTTACAGAATGCCCACAGTAAGTAAATGAACTTTTATGTCAAGCTTTCTCTTCGGACTGCGGAATAAAGCTTCAGTGTTAACTTTCGGACACCTCTCTAACGATTCTACAAGGAATTCTCAGTTTTTGATAGAAGTGCTATTTATTAGAATGGGGTAAGGGAATTTAAGTAAAAATATAATGAGACTTATTTTCATAGACGGCGTTAAGCATTATAAATAGTCGATCAAATCGCCAAAAACTCCCACTCCAATCGCAAAGAAATGTCATCAAAATGAAGTAAAAAATTTTCTGTATAAACGGGTATTTAAAAGGCATTTTTACAATAGTAGTACCAGAGCTTTGTAAAACTGACCACTTTCATTTTTCAAACTCTAAGATGACATGATTTCCTCTACTTATATTTCATACTACTTTGAAAAAAAAAATTAGATACTGCACCCACTCTGATTGGGTGAGCTGGCCTCACCTTTCTTGATCTTTCACTGCACCAGGAATGCATCAGTGTCAGGTCAAAGCAGACATTTTCAAGTTAAGAATGGATGTGCTAGTTTAAAGGTGGTTGATGGATTACTGAATGTCGATCCTGCGATACCGCAAGCTACTTGGTTCCAGACTCCATCTGTTGTAGAAATTGGAGCAGGTCAGTCTGAAACAATCCGTTGAGGACACTAACAATGCGATTGATGTTTGTATGGTATGTGTTGTTACTTAGCAACGTGAGTAACGTCAGTATTGGGTAACGCAATCTTGGAAGAGCGTCTTGGGACATTTCTGCAGAAGCGAGTGCAAAGGACCCCTATTTATTCTGCGGAGACGTCCCAAAGACTCTTCCTAGGATTGAAGTTCTAATTACTCGGGCTTTCCGAAGGAAACGCCCGAGGTATAAATTCGGCTTCGCTTTTTTTTTTTTTTTCGCGTACAGTCACAAAACGCAGTTCCACTACAGCGCATGCGTGAAGTGTAAGTGCATGCATAGAATGAACCCTAGAGCGCTTGGTTTAAAGCAATGGCTGCTTTCGTGGACAATTCCTTGCATGATGTACGCGAAAGAAAATTCGATGGCTATTACGCTCAATATACATACAAAGTCACACATCGTTCACACCGTTCGCGGTAGACCCACACTAAAACTTATGGGGCGTTTTGGGAACGGGTCGGTCCGCGAACTCAACGAGAGATCAATTTACGAGCGATCCTTTACGAGCAAACCTTCTGTCGAGATATATCAAGCGAAACCTGCTATATCAAACAAACTATCTCATATTATGCAGTAAATGGTTTGAACCCGGGGGTAACATGTGAAGGTGTAGTCTGATCGTCCGGGTGAGTGTAGTCCTGAGAAGGACTGTTGTCGGTGGCAGTGACTGACGTTTCGACAACCTGTGCGGAAGTCATCATCAGAGTCAAGTGAGTGATTGTTGTCAGTAGAATGTTCTTATTCCAGTTCGTGTGA